ATGAGATAACAGATTCAGATAAAGTTTCTGGCATTCTAGGAAAGCTTGAAATCTATTTGCTTTGATGCCAGTTATCTGCTGTCTTTCTGGATTAGAAATCACACAATGCCCACGGAGAAAGCCAAAGACATTGGAAATCAAAGGTTTGGAAAATCATTTCCTAAAATAACTTTCACCATATTTCTTAATTCACTTTTCAGGGAGCGAATTGACAGAATTGATCTTTGGCTATGTCATTTTTTATTCCCCATCAACTGTTTGAAGTGAGTGATTTTGTCAGTAAAGGGAGGACACAGAGCCATGATTACTTAATAAAATCACTGAAATTTGCAGAAGAAAGTTACATCATAAATTTGGACCTGGATTCAAGAAATAGGTTTTCATTTTAAGAAGGTCCCTGCAGCTAAATGAATGGCTTTTTATAAACTGACAGAAGAAGTTAGAAAAAAAAATCAGTAAGCCTGTTTTCCTTCTATTACAGCAATAGAGCTTATGCATTTATTCACACTGAAACTTTCTCAGAACAATATAACCTAATTGCCTAATTTCCCCTAAAGTCAAAAGATCATGCATCTGATCTCTGGAAGGCAAAGGAGAGATTTTGATACCATAATAAAACAGAATAAATTTGTGGTGCCTGGATTTTGTCACTTGTACTAAGGCACTAACATTTTCTAAGGTAGGAATTTTGCTATTTGATTCCCATATTTATGTCTCAAAATGTAGATGCTTGAAAACATCAGGCCTTGGAAAATCACCAAATAAAGGTGATCTTTGAGATGATTGTAACTGCAATGTTACTAATTACTAAAATACTAAGTTTACTATGATACCCAGATAATGATTCCAAGAGCTTAGTAACATACACACAGGGGATAGATTATTTTTTATATATTCTGCATTGTGGAATGCACCAAATCATATAGAATGTGGGGAAAAATATGGGAAAATATCCACAGCTACATCATACAGACTTTTGAGTTGGCAAGGACAAGGAGATATAGGCTAGGGACAGAAATTACACATAAACTGGTGTGATTGGAAACCAGTTCAGATCTAGAACACAGCAGAAGTTCAGTGCACATAAACCACTTTTAAAATGGCCAAACCCACTTTAAGATAAACCTGGATGGATGTAGTATCAGATTTCACTGATTTAGGTGAAATTGGTTTAGTGAACTGTCCCAGATTCCCTCCAGATTCAAGGTAACTCTCAGTCTCCCTGCATCCCAGGATGCTTTGCACCTCCCCTGCAAACCCCGTCCCCCCTTGCAGAGTGGGTGGGCTAGCCTTGGCCCAAGCTGTCTGCTCCAGCCAAGTAGGGAGGCGTGCTCTAGCGCCCCCCAGCTTCTAGCCTGGGCCACTGTAGGGAGGTGGCTGCATCCTCAGAATGAAAAGTGAATGTCTGTTCACTTGCTTATCGGTTCAGTCTATGCTGCTTAGACTAACCTATGAAGATTGAATCAATTCAGCCTTGGGCTTTTTGACTGTTTGTACTTAGCCATTATGTACTACTTCCAAAAGAGCCTATGTGACTTAGAAACCAAAGTTTTAATTCACATTATGCAGCATCTGAATTTCCACACTCACTTTTGAAAATGGGATCATCGAATCATAAAAATTAAGGGCTGGAAGGGACCTCAAAAGATCAAGTTGAACCTCCCGCTCTGGGTAGGAATACTGCTGAGATCAAATGATCCCATCTAGGTGTCTGTCCAGTGTCCTCTTGAAGACTCCCAAGGTTGGGCACTGCACTACCTCCTTGGGAAGTCTAGTCCAGATTCTGGTCACCCTTATGGTAAAGAAGTTCTTCCTTACATTCAACCTGAAACCATCCTCTAACAGTGTATGGTCATTTCTCCTTGTCCTTCCCTGGGGTGCTCTAGTGAACAGGTTCTCTCCCAGCTCCTGATATTCACCTCTTACACACTTATAGACAGCCACCAAGCCCCTCCTCAGTCTTTTCTTCTCCAGGATGAGCAGTCCCAGATATTTTAGTCTTTCCACATAAGGTTTGTCCTCCAGGCCCTTAATTATTCCTGTGGCCCTCCTCTGAACCCTTTCAAGATTATCCACATCTTTTTTGAACTGCACTGCCCAGAACTAGATATAATACTCCAGCTGGCATGTCACCAACGCCAAGTATCACTTCCTTAGCCCTGCTGGCGACGCATCGGCTAATGGGTCCCAGTATGCTATTAGCTCATTTGACTACAGCATCACACTAGTGATTTGAACTTTTGAGTCACTTCAATTTCTTTATGAACTTTATGCATAAGCTCTTATGCTTCAGGATCTATGCCAATGACTGAGAAAGGTGAAAAAGAAGCCTTTTATATAAATGTAGCAATTTATTCCATCATTTTCTATTTAAGGATTGTGGGTACCTTCCACTGAAGCATTTGGTGCTGGCCACTACTGGAGACAAGGTACCGGAAGAGACAGATCTCTAGTGTGATCTAGAATGGTGATTTCTGTGTGTTTGAGTGCGGGTGGTGCCTAGCCTGTCGTATAACTGTAATTTACTCATTAAGCACCTCTTCTTGTTACATTCTGATCATTAGTATGATCTTACCAGGGGAAGGCAAAGTCAGATAATGGATAGATCACTGGACCAGACTTAATAAGGCCTAAATTATACGCCCAGCTCTGACATGGGTCTACTGAATGTTCTTGGGCACATCACTTCACTTCCCCGAGCCTACCAATTTTGATGTCAGTAATAATAATAACAATATTGTTACATGCTAATGAATGTAGCTGACCTCCTTTCTAGATGTGTAGTTAGGAATATTTTTTTTTTTTTATTATTCCATTGATTCTGCAGCGAACACTGTACATTTGATAGGATTTGGTCCAAAGATATCTACTCAGGTTCAACCTCCCTAAAATCTCTTTCAATAGAAGATAAGCATTCACAGCCCTTTTTGGATACTTTAGCTATTTTGAATGTACATTTATCCTGGGGACACCTTAATTATCATCAGCTTTTTTGTCATAACGTTATATTTATTGGTCAGAGATTTGACTGGCCATTTTATGGAATATGGAGACTATCAAGAGAAGCTAGCAGTAGCCTAGAGAGGTTGGAAATATTGACTGCAATTGTTTTGAACTGTTAAATATGCACATTTTTTCTTCCAATACATGACTTTCTTAACAGGTGCAAAGGCTATTGCAAATCCAGAGCAGTATGGTTCAGGCACACATAAGATGACCACTCCCTCCTCACCAAAGATCATGACAATTATTTAACCAATAATCTACCCACCAGTTACCAACCTAGGGTTTTAGCAAATGGTGCTGTGCTCAGCAAATAGCCCAGAGAAAGAACCAATAACATACAAGTAGCCACATTCACTTTTATGGCTGCAAAGGACATTATTATTCATAGGTCCAGTAGCTTTATAGCAAGCATAAATGTCCTGCATGAGGGAAGAGCAACATATCTGAATATTATTTTCATTGGAATAATTTCAATTTCAACAAGACTTAAAAAAGGGGGATATGAAATTAAAAACTGATGAAATAAGGCATAAGAGCCAGAGGAGGTAAAGGAGAAAGTATTTAATAGGGAAAGCGAACAGGCCTTGACAGAGAGTGATCAAGGTCAATGATACCAACTCTCTCGCTAATGTATGGCATATATTGCCATGTTTTACATCTGAGTAGTAGAGCGGTTAAGTCTCATGTCCCTTGGGTAATGGTGTTATTCTTATTCTATCAATGAGAAAACTAAGGTACTGTGAGATTATGAACAGGGTTTGCAAAACTGACTTCTGATTTTGGTGTCTGCATTTTTGGGCCCACAATCTGAGGTACCTCAATCCCAATTTTCAAAGGCACCGAGCATCTCTAACCCTGAGTGGAGCAAATAGGATTTGTTGGTGGACAGGCATCCTCAAATGAGAGGCTGCTTTGGAGAATGCTGTCCTGAAAACCACAAGAAAAGCGAAAGATAATGAACCCAGTTCATTTCTCCAGCCACTACAAAATAGTCCCTCCCTTCCTGAATTAATGACCTGAAAATTAAAGCTACAGAATCCTACATTTCATGAAGAGCAAAGGCCTGACTTGTTAAACTAACACAGGTTTTACATCACCGTGGCAGCATAAAGGAGAGCTTAAATAGGTGAAATTTAAATCTATATTCACTGTAAGACCCATGTAGAAGAAAGGAAATTACTTAACTGAGAATCAGAGCCCAAACTGGTTTGGGCTGAGCAATCTCTATGTGAACTTACAAAGCATCCAACCAGTCTGGATTATTTGCTTAGATAAATATTTTCAACCTTATGGCATTAAAGTCCTATTCCTCTATACTGTATACACATGACATATATCACACAGCAACAAGGGAACCCATGGATAAGGCAGGGAAGCAATGAATAACCAATATACATAGTCACCAGTTTCAATGTGCCAATACCAAAACTCACTGTGTATAACGCCAAAGATGCCATTTGCTTGCTTGTGATATTTAGCTAGGATGGCATTAAAAAAAAATAAAATAAGCCTCAGGTGCCCAAGTGCTAGAGCAGCACTTGAACTCGCACATCTTCTCTGGCACTGCATCCCTCTCCCAAAAAACTATACGCACACCAACAAAAGAGGTGGAAGAGAATATTATATTCCTGGGCCAGGCATTCAGCTACCTTCATCGAATTTCTCATCTTTGTAATCCTGTACACCTAATGGATTTCAGCGTGAATAAATAGTGAGGAATTGCTACTATATGGTCCTGCCAAACAAAAGTCAGGAGGCTGGTAAGGTCGAGCAACATGATTATTCAAGGCCCACATAAGCAAATACCGTGCTGCATACAAAATAAAGGGACATAAACAAGAGTGATGGCCACTTACATGAATCGAATGCAAGGAACCTGTTAAAGTTGCAGTAAAAAAGCCCAGCTGAAATTACACCCAAAACCTCTATCATCCCCCTGGTAACTCTCAAGATAGTGATCTTGGCCTCAGCCCAGACACGTCATAAGAGCTTACCATTTTTTGAGAGAATCACAGCCAAGTATTCATGAAAGTAGGTGTTGATGTACAGCAGAAGGCTTGGTGCATGTGCTGTCAGGAAGCTAAGCGCAATGTTTTCCTTCGACATAACCGCATCTGCATAAATGGCGGAAGATGAAGTGCTTGCATTTTTTGTCACTGGATAAGGTTCTTGGAAAACATAGGTAATGGAGGTGCCAGCTTCAAACAGCGCCGAAACCTCTGAAAACAGATATAAACCAAGAGATCCATTTCAGATGCTGCATTTGCAAATCTTTCTATTAGATGTAGGCCTGAACTCAACGTGGGAAAACCTTTGGAGAAAAAGTGCAGACTCAAGTCTTGTCTTGGATCTGACCTTCACTGAGTCCATCTTATTGGAGTGAGCTACATCGCGTCTTTCATATTCTGCAAGAAACACTAGGTAAGGAAGGGGTCAGATCTGTATGGATCCACAGAAGATAACCAAGTGTAGAAGCTGGAGCCCTTCTCCCGGGGCACAGCAGATGCAGGCAAACCACCTCAAAAGAGCATATGCCAGAAGGGAAAATTCAGCAAAACATTCCTTGAACGGGCACTATGTCGACTGTTCCTAGACAGTTAGAGCGAGATTTTTCCCTTCTCAAACTATCTGGGGTAGAGAAAATAGTTAATTATGATGACTTTAACCAGTAATCACATCATAACTATAGTGATTCCGTTACCCACATTACAGGTAACTTTGCAGCTCCTAATAAAAGAGGCAGAAACAGGTCTGCAGCCTGACCTTTTGTTTGCTTGCACTTTAAAACACAAAAACTAACATTTATCCCAAAGTTTATCTGGGTAACCGTGAAAGCACAACATAGATTCTCACCCGTACTAGCTGGAGAGACTTGAGAGGTGAGAGGAGGGTGGCATGTACAATACATGAGCAGCAGGTCTTTTGAATGTACTCAATTCTCCAAATTTCTCTCCTGCCTATACCCAATATTTATAGATGACTCATTCTAATAAATGATTTCTGATTGGTTTTATTTTATTTTTTTTTCACTGAAACTTTTGGAGCTGGACTGAACCACTTCTCTTGTGGACTTGGAAGGTGTCTGTCAATTAGTTGGGATTTGTATCCTTGTCTCCTATCCTTCCCCATTGTAGAATGCCATTTAACACTGGCCTGGTTCTTCCTTACCTTAGCTTATGGTCTTGTCGGACAAGGCTGTTTTATTTTTACAAATTATCTCAGGATCTTAACAAGAAATATATCTATATAGCAAAATAACATGTAATGCATTTGGTTACATCAATCACTGCTACTAGTATTTTAAGATAAATCTATCATAAAGTGTATCTGGATTATTTAATGTATGGTCTTCCCTTATAACCTCTCCTTTCAGGCCCTGTGATTTGTGTAATTGCATCTCATTAGTGGTTTAGTTAGACATGTGAACGTCTTGCTTTATTTTGCTGACCAAGCTAGTAGTTACATCTACAAAGATTCATGCTATGGACCCTTAAAGGGTCCATAGCATGAACCTAGGCTATAGGTACTGCCATATAAGGGTCCATGCTGCCATATAAGGGTCCATAGCATGAACCTAGGCTATAGGTACTGGTTCATGTTGATTCCATAGGACACTCCTATCGTTAGTAGCTCTAACCCCTTTCTAATAGATTACAAGGATGTATTCAAAGCACCCGTCGTGATATTAATGCCAATTCCTCTGTTCATTTAACTTCATTCTGACTCCCAACAGAACGAGGACAGTCTCTAGCAGCAGATGATCCACCCCATGGATAACTGGCGTGGCGTCCGCAACCCAAGACGAGCAGCGATGTGCTTCTGTGAACCTGTATATGATCTACAACTAGAGCAACCTTAGGGTGAATATTAGCTATTCGTTCCTCCTTCCCCAAAGAACACTTCATCTAAGAGAGACACCCTCTATTTTTCCTGTTCCTTTTATTGAGTCGGCAACGGCTGCTGAGAGCTGGAGAAGAGCTTCTTGCCGACACTCCCCTGAAATCTATTTTCCCCTTATTGCCTCATTGTACCTATAGCGGTCTCAGTGGCAAATCTGCACTGCACACAAAAGGCGTATTATTTTGGTTGCAAAGAGATGATAAAATACACAAAAAGCCACTCTTCCTGCTACATCTCCAGCACCTGTTCCAAAGCATCAGGCCCTACAGCTGTGTAAAGAAAAGATTTCAAGGGATACTTTTAAACCCATTTGTCCTGTCCTTGTTCTCAGAAGCGGCTAACTTGCTCTCGCTGAAATTTTCCCAAAATATTCAACCTGAGGCAGGCACCACACCTGAACATTTAAGTCCAAAGTTTTCACGTTGGGCATAGTTGTAAACAGTTTAAAATGGGGTCTAATAATGACAAGTGTAAAGCATGTTAGCTGCTCTGCTTATATTTTCCGAGGCCCTTAGTGAAGTCCACAAATGAGATGATCCCTCGTTTACAAATGAGGCAAAAACATCTCAAGTTGAGCCAGAGGAATTGATGTAGAGTGATGTCCTTGTGATACAGGGGCCACAAGGAGAAATGTGATGGGGCTGGAAGACAGAAATCCTGAGGCTGACAAAGAATGAGAGTAAAACCAAAGCATGCAACCCACCTTCCTTGCAGAAAGGTCCTTCATAAGCAGAGTTGGTGCAGTCACAGGACGAACCATTGTACTTCTCCACGCATTTGCCTCCATTGTGGCAGAGGTTACCATAACTGCTGCAGTGCCCCGGGCACCCGGGTGTGACACCAGGGGTTATTTTTGCCCTCTCTTCAAGGTCAAGTTTTTGCCCATTTAAATGTAATGACCGGATGCAACCTAGAAAACCCCTTTGTCTGGAAGCTCTGGCCCCTGAAAGAGAGAGAGAGAGAGAGAGAAAGTGCAGAGGACTTGCTTTCAGTGATGAGTCTGGAAAATGAATGCAAACAGCAGGTCAATTAACAATACACAGTGAGGATCCTACCAAAAATATATCACAGAGCAATAATATACTATAGTATGTTATTGGAGTAGCAAACAGGACCAGATTTTCAGGTCTGGAGGCTGCAGTTTATGGTGTATCTGCCAGACTCAAACCAAATCATCTATGGCAATCCCATGCAGACGGGATGGATCCAGAGCAGGTGCAGTTGCACAATTGTGCCCCCTTCCACTTTCAGACCAGGCGATGGGAGCAGCAGCCAGGGACTTTTTCAATCTCTAAGTTAGGTAAGAATTGCACCTCCCTCCTTTTCCCCTGCATGATCAGTGGCACATCCCTCCCCCTTCCACCACTTCTCCTGTCCCCACTGTCTCCAGCTCCTCAGAGCCATTCCTGCCAGGCTGCACTAGGATCCAGCCTCAGCCCAGCTTCATGGCAGTGATGTACTAAGCCACTGCTACCTTCTCCCTGGCTTCCCATGCAACCTGGCTGGAGCAGTCTGGGAAAACTTCTGCAGCTCCTCCTGCCCCAAGGGCAGCTGGGGACAGTGGCAGTGGTAGGAGGGGAGGCAAAGGGATGTGCCATTGAGCAGAGAGGCGAAGGCGGGGGGATGCTGAGACTTGGCAGGGATTCTTACCTGATTGGGTACTTAAAAAAAGTCCCTGGCTACTGGTCCTTGCAGCATAGTCTGCCAATTCTGGTGGGGTGGGGGAAGCTGGGAGCCAAGGTGCAGCCACCCCTATGGTACTGGATGCTGTTCTCATACCCCCTTTATAAAATCCTGGATCTGCCCATGCATGCAAATGCCTGTCGATGTCTTTATCGTGAATGAAAGGGACCCCTTTTTTGGTCCAGTTTTTCCTAAGAAAGCTGGACAGCTCATTTCAATGAACTCAGGCGATTAGTCAAGGATGCACTGCACAGTAGGAGTTTTGAAGAGATAGGAGCCCAGGAAGGGTGGCTGTGCCTTAAGGAAATGATCCTTTGGGCACAGAGGGAGACGATCCCGATGCGAGGAAAAAGAGGGAAAG